GATGCGTCATGCGAAGAGCAATCCCCACCAATAACTTAATTTTCAAGGGAAAGATTGACGCTTCCCTTTTTTAAACATAAAACTTCATGTGTTTACCAAGTTTATACAACAGAAATGCACCAAGCCGATCAAGTTTGAAGCCAGAAAAACAGGCTGAAGTTTTATTCCTACACAAGACTCAATGTTAAAGACAAATTTTAACAACTTTTATTACGTGCAAAATATTTTTCTTGACTTTTGTTGTCGACAGCGTATGACCACAGTCGACTTCAAAACTTCTCCAAAATAATGTTCTTCACACAATGCGACTTGGTGCGTTTCTGTCAAAATCGGTTTATGTGTTAGTAGTTGGCAACATTGCTCTAATTACCAAATTGTCATCTGCGTTTTTTTTCGACGAAGATACAGTGACCTGTGGATGTCGATGACGGAGCATCGTGATTCGTGCCGCCGAATCTTAAACTCGAATCATGAGTTTCATGAACCGACCTCGAAACACACTTTCCGCTCACCTGCCCGAGGAAATATCCTTAACAGTCGATTGTCTCATTAGATGCGTCTGCACTCTGTAGTCTTATTAGCTCCTCCCTCTTCTCTCCCCTATCCCTCTTCTTTCTCTCCTCCTTCTTCTCTTCCTCCCCCAAATCCTCCTTTGAAGTGTTCCTCAGTTTGTAACACAATGTGTTTTGAAAGAATGAATGAAATGATTTTTGAGTGTAAAGACTTTGGATCGCATTTAGAAGAAGGAAAATGACGAGCTGTTTTGAGTAAATTTAGTCAAGATGCTCAGCACTCCCGTTTTTACAAGTAAGATGAAACAACCAAAGTTTATTATTTTTCATCAACTAAAACACGTTTTTGGTACCAGTTCAAACCGGAATAATTGAATTTTTAACCTAAAGTATTTAATTGAGCGTATTTTACGTACATGGCTTAGTTGTATGGTTTTCTAAATTGAACACGCCATTTCAAAGAAGGAAACCAACTCCCAGCCGGTTTCGTTTTGGCTCCTCTCAAAATCGCAACCAAACTCAAGGAAGGGAACCAACTCGAGTTGTATTCCTTCAGTATGAATTTCGTTTTCAAACAGGTGGGCTCGTGATTCTGAGGGCGAAAAGGTGCCTTCCATCACTCAGCCATGCCAAATGCCTGACAGGAAAAGACACCCAGTCGTATTGCTATCACGTTAAATACGCAATCTAACTCCTAATTCATAAGTATAGACAGTTTTATGTAGTACCCAGGCCGGATTTACCTACTTGCCGCCCATGGGCCGCCTGTATTTTGCCGCCCCCTTCTCATTCGTTTTGAAACATCAATAAAAACCATCAAGTGAATGTGCCAGAGGAGGAGGGGTGCACAAGACGCGTTTACCTGCTCGTGTTGGATACATTTTTTGCGAAAGCCCTGTCAACACTACTAGCAAAATTTCACGGAACTTGACGCGAAAGTTAAGTTCCATAAACTTATCTTTGTGTGGATAAGGCCCTCCATTTATAAGAAATGAACCAAAAAATTATGAAAGAACAAACATAAATGTGGTTTAATAGTTTTAACTTCCACCGCTGCCCCGCTGATCGCAGTGTGTTTGGCGCAATGCGTGAAGTATTCCCGGAGTCTTGTAGGCGTTATGCGTTTCACGCCAACCGCTCCTCACCGCACTGTGTTTGGCGCAATGGTTGAAGTATTCATGCAGTCTTGTAGGCGCTAATATGTGTTACATGCCGACCGCTGCGCCGAGGGCTTGTCCTTTTCATCTGAAGTCCTCGTCCTCCAATCAAAAATTGAGGCTTGCGAGTTTACCCTTCGAGGTCTGTTTCTCAGACCATCAATAACACTGGAAAAAAAGTCGCTTGGATCTAGAGTCCAGACTCTAAAAAACATCGAACAGAAAAAATACTCTTAATTCAATCGGATTTTTGCTTTAATCAAAAGGATATCTGCTTAAATCAAGAGGCTTGGCTTTTCAATTCAAGGAAAAATCTCATCGATCAAGAGTACTTTTTCTTGTCAATGTTCATTAGAGTCTGGACTTTAGATCCAAGCGCCTTTTTTTCCAGTGAAACACAGGCGGATATAGGTTTCTCTGTGCAAAAGGGTACTTTTACGATGTATGCGCGCGTATTGGGTTCCTCTCTAGGACAATAAGTGCAAATGTATATTTTATACACGTACAATACGACAAAAATCAGGACGCGGCTTTGCGAGGACCGGTCCGGCGGTCCATTCATTAGCCGGCTCCACTGAAGCGTCCCGAGACCTCACTCGTTCCTAATTGGTCTTCGCTTGCGCAACGGTCAACACTCAACAGTGACACTCATTGTCGCGCCTGGGCCCCGGAGTAAAGAAGCCGCCGCTAATTCTATAATAGCAAAATTTCTTCGCGGCCTTAATTACAGCCGACTCACCTAGCTCCGTGCAAAAAAGTGGGGCATCGCTGGACATTTTTTTAAAATTTTGATTCGCGTGGACTCAGAGTCCAGCCGGTGGTCTTAATTTATGAGAGCGCTCTCAAAAGAAGTTTTGCTATTGTGAGATTATGCTATATATTATTTGTCAGTGCAGCTGTGTAATACAGTCATTTTTTTGTATGGAAAAGACGTATGAGCTATTTGCAATGTTGCTCAGACTTTGCTTAACTCCGCGGAGCAAAATTTTCTGTTGGACCGATATAAATTCCAAACAATTATTGCTGGACAGTAATTCTCGTTAAATCAACATAAAGTATCTTTGTTTCAAACGGTAATTCTGTTACTTTAAAGAGACTTCCTCTTTTTTGAAGAGATTCCCAGTTTAACTTAACGAGAACTCTCGCCCGTCCATTATCAAATGAAAAGAATTCCGAGCATGAAATTGAACGACTGGAAAGTCCTATTAGAATTTTCCATTTGAAAATCTACCTTATTTGTACTTACTTTTTATTAACATTATTAGCATTAGGGTCAGTTTAGTTTGTCAAAAAGTATGCATGAAGTTGTACAATATTCGTAACACTGCAAAGCTCACATGTCGTCTCTGCAAAGAATGTCTCCATCGATGAAATACCAATTGCCTAATCGCTTAAAATAACGCTCAATCTTAAGTAATTATGTCCAAGATCCATTTTTGTGAGCGTCGGCAGTTGATAAGTCTATAGTGAAGTCTAAAACTGAATTTTGAGACTTCCGATTGAAAGCAGGATGATTCAAATCTACTGTTTCTCATCCATATTCTATTGTAGTAAAGCCAATTTAATTTAGAAAAAAGACAAAAGGGACATTAGCGAGACGGAATACGAACTTAATTCTCGTAGTTTTTGTCGCTTCAGTGTGCTAGACACGGTATGGATGATAACGCCTGGATACAACTAAACGTGCTCGAAGGATGGCCGCGATGCATGTTCAAAAATTGAAGGCGCTCCGGCGTTTCGTCTCTTATTTACCTGAACTTGGCACTGAACTTGGGGTTTGTGCTATTTGTTCCAACACGCAAGCCATGTAAAATCAAGGGTAAGAAAGTCAACATTGTTTCTCCCGAAAAATAAATATTTCTGTCCTCCATAAAACTTCATCACTCTCCTCGGACCAAAGGCACTTTAACCGAAAGCTGAAAGAGATTTTAGAAGAAAATATTTTTTGAAAAGTGCCCTTTCCCTCTATTCACTGTGTGTGCGTGCATAATGATTTTCATATAACGATTTTAATATTTCTTTATTGTGCTGACAACACTATTTCTCACCCTTATTTCATATCATTTCACTATCGATTTACTTCGTAGGATTACTCTATGTGGTACAGTTTCGCTCCAAATGGCAGTATATTTCTCTCCGATAAAACTATGCTCAAATGAGCTTTCTCTCTCCGTGACGAAGAAATCACTATTATTTGTATCATGACTTAAGCGCTGTTTTTGGCTTAAAAAAAGTCATCAAACTTTTTTTTAGTAGAGGACAGGAACCTAGCATAAAGAACCGCAAATATACCAACGCAAGGAATATGCATTTGTAGATCCACCAAAACAATTTCCGTGCGCGATCTGACTTACCTAAACTATATAGCCTTTTTTTGTGAGCCTGGCATTTGAAATGTTCGTAACCAATACTAACTAATCCCGTCTAAAACCTAGGTATCCCACTTGGGTGTTTAATTAATCGTCACAGGATGAAACGCTTTCAACGAAAAATCTTGATAAGAAAAAGAGTAAAAAAACCGAGTTTAACAGAAAGGAACCAAGCCACATCGGGTATTGCCAACTTTAACTGGGCAATTTAATTTTTTACCAGAGAATATTTGTGCGATTTCCTTCGAAAATCTTGAGAAATTTGCGTCGCACTACGAAGAAAATTCATGGAAATTTGCACGAAAATCCGCATCACCATTTTCATGCAAAACATTAAATTGCCCAATTAAATTCGGCGGTAGCCGATGTGGCTTGGTTCTTCTCTACTTAACGCGATCCGAATAATAAGTTAAGTCAGACCCTGCCTGTGGGTCGATTTTTGAAATTGATAGACGAAGCTATAGACAAAGAAGACAAAAGAGACATGGAGAAATCCTATTGGTGGAAGCTTGTAGTTGAAAAAGACAAAGGGGTACACTGGAAAAAAAAAATTGGATCTTTAATAATCGACAAGAAAAAATACTCTTGATTCAATCAGATTTAAGCTTAAATCAAGAACCAAGCCTCTTAATTTGAGCGGATTTCCTTTTGATTTAAGCTTAAATCTGATTGAATCAAGAGTCCATTTTCTTGTCAATGTTTTCAAGAGTCTGGACTCCGGATCCAATGTGTTTTTTTTTTCCAGTGTAGGTAATAGACTAACTAACGTCAATTCAGGAGAGAACCTTTAGGTAGTCCATCATTTACCCCCCTCAGTCTATAAGAACCACCCAAAGTAACCAATAGGATCCCTCCATACTCATTATGTCCTCTTTGTCTATCGCTTTGTCTATAAATTTCAAGAATCGGCTCGGTGGTGGTGGATTTTTGTCGAGGGATCCGTCGGAAAGGGGCGGCCTTACCTGGAGCTGGATGTTGGGGGCGGCGGCGGCGAGGCCGACGAGGAGGGCGGCTCCGAGGAGGACTGTCACTTGAACGGGACGGAGGGACGACATCTCGGGGGACCGGGGACCCGTGGCAGGGGAACTCGCGGCGATCGGCGATCGGGGACGAAGCTGCGCGGAAACGTACACTGCGTCGGTCCGCAGGATTATGTCGGCGCCCAGACGTAACACGCCGCCACCGTTCCCGCAGACCGCGGCCCCGGGCCCCGGGCTCTGGAGAAGGGGGAGCTTTCATAATCCGACATTATAGCCCGGTTGGCTCCAGTCTCGCCAGAAGCCGCCTCATAAGTCCACAGCCTCAAATCTATACTGTAGTTAGAGCACCTGTATATGGGAGAGTATTGCCATCTCTGTGCCGCTCTCTGATTGGTTCATCAGTTTAAGGCTATCATAGAGCTCTAAAGTTGGCCCAATGTAAACAAAACCCGACTCAGCACTGGAAAAAAAAAAAAAAAACGTTGGATCTAGAGTCCAGACTCTTGAAAACATTGACAAGAAAAAGGACTCTTGATTGAATCAGATTTAAGCTTAAATCAAAGGGAATTCCGCTCAAATTAAGAGGCTTGGTTCTTGATTTAAGCTCAAATCTGATTGAACAAAGAGTATTTTTTCTTGTCGATATTTTTAAGAGTCTGGGCTCTAGATCCAATGTGTTTCTTTTTCCAGTGTAGGACCCTGAAGTCACTTCATGGATGTCTCCACATCTCTTAATTACTCCTGACAGTGGCGTGGCGCGATTTGTTATACATTGATTGATCTGCTATCTAAACGTATGGAAAAGGATCGATATATAGGGTGCTCGCAACGAACACCTCAATAATCGATTCTTTACCATACACTGGGAAAAAAACACATTGGATCTCGAGTCCAGACTCTTGAAAACATTGACAAGAAAAAGGACTCTTGATCTGATCAGTTTTAAGCTTAGGCTTGGTTCTTGATTTAAGCTTAAATCTGATTGAATCAAGAGTATTTTTTCTTCTCGATGTTTTTAAGGGTCTGGACTCTAGATCCAATGTGTTTTTTCCCCAGTGTGTATATGGGAGAGTATTGCCATCTCTGTGCCGCTCTCTGATTGGTTCATCAGTTTAAGGCTATCATGGAGCTCCAAAGTTGGCCCAATGTAAACGAAACCCGACTCAGAGGAACAGGAACACGTATTATCGTCTGAGAAATGAATGATATTCACACTCAAAGCCTTATTTTCGGCAAAACTATTCATCAAAGTTCGATCCGAACTCAATTTAGAAGTTGAATATAACAAATTTCTATCCCACCCAAAATCAAATCACGTCTTTGTAGAACTTTGTCGCCATCTTGTTTGTTTAGATTGGGCGAAACTAGGAGCGGAGGAGCTGGGGTGTGTTTGCATCGGGCCAACTTTGGTGCACCATGATAGCCGACAAATCAGAGAGCGGCAAACTTTTTCTGTGGTTAAAGGATTGAGATGACAATACTTTCCCGTGCTCAGCTGTACTCTGATACTAGTTTCTTCTGGAATGCCATCTTTTCGGAATTACGATGATTTGTCCTAGGTTTGCTCCAAGTGGGCGAATTTTAACGAAAAAGCACCACATTATATTTTGAAAATTAAAATGTAGCCCGAATACAAAAGTAGGAAGATTAGTTGGACCGACCGAGTTTATCAGAAAGGAACCAACCCACATAAAGTTGGAAGTGAGAAAACGAGGTTCGAAGTTTTATTCCTCCATAAAACTCAATATAGAAAACTAGGGGGCTACGCCCCCTGGCCGCTACGCGGCCCAACCCCCTGAAGGCGCTCCGCGCCATAAATGGGCCGCCTCGCGGCCCTATTTTTACCCTCCTATCAGTGTTAGTTTTATTTTTACCCTAAAAAATTACGATATAAGGTATACTTTAATTTTAAACTGTACTTAAAATTACTTTGAAATTAAAAGGACGCGTTTTGGAATGACTGCTTGATGAAATATTGCAGTAAAACAATGAACAATGGTAAAGTCAAGTAATAATTTAAAGAATGTGAGTGGGGGATCGAACCCACACCCTGATCGATGTGATCGCTTCCGACGTCGTAGACGACTCGGCCACCAGTCGTCTTGGGGTATTGAGCGGGAATCTTGTGTAGATAAGTATAGAGCTGATGCGCAGGCTACGCACCTACTGCGCAACCTCCTCGACCACTGCGCATCCTCCCGCGCATAGCGGTAGCAGTCCCGGAGCATTCTGTAAATTCACTCACTTTTATAACGTGATTTTAAAAAAACCTGGGTCCTTTTTCCAAAATCTGATTAGAGCGGGCTCATCTAGGGCCTATTACCTGTCGATTACCGCAAAAAACTTGGAAATCGGCCTGGTAGAACGCTCAAACGAACTATGACAAAAAATATAAATTTACATTGTTTAAATGGGAGAATTCGCAACTTTACCATTTAATATAAAAAAACCTGGGCCATATTTTGAAAATCTGAAAAAAGTTGGCTTATCTAGAGACAATTGCCCGTCGATAGCCGGAAAAATCTTTAAAATCGGCCCGGTAGAACGCTGGAACTAAGCGTCACCAGTTTCGCAAAATTAGGAGGTCTCGGAGCTTATAGTATAGATAAACACTAACTCCCCATTTCACGGACTAATTTTGTTTCCCACCTTCGAGTTTTTGGCAGGAGAAAATATGCGACGAGTGGAACTCAAGAACATTCGTAGCTCAATTTTTTCGAAATTGTGGGTTGGTTCTATTCTGATAAACTTTGACTAGTTACTACGTATGCGTCCAACGACGGAAATATATTTCCCCCATGTGTGGACTTTTAGGGGGCAGCTTTTTTATTTACCACCAATACTCGAAGTCATCACAAGGTGGCAAAATATTTCTGGGTCCACACTATTTCGCGGGGAAAGCAAGGCCAGAAAGTTCAGAAATTTCAATTGAAGTCATACTAGACCGCCATTTTTTTTACTCACTGGTAAAAAAAACACATTGTATCTAGCGTCCAGACTCTTGAAAACATTGACAAGAAAAAATACTCTTGATTCAATCAGATTTTTGCTTAAATCGAAAGGAAATCCGCTCAAATTAAGAGGCTTGGTTCTTGATTTAAGCAAAAATCCGATTGAATCAAGAGTATTTTTTCTTGTCGATGTTTTCAAGAGTTTGGACTCTAGATCCAATGTGTTTTTTTTTCCAGTGCTTATTGACATTTTTGAACTTTCTGGCCTTGCTTTCCCCGTGAACTCAGTGGACTCAGCATTATTTGGACGTATTTCTACCAAACGGAACTATGTGCATTGTGACGTGAGCCCTGCTATGCATATATTCTTATGGGTCCCAGGGTTCTTGTCTTATTGCACATAGTTCCGTTTGGCAGAAATACGTCCATTTTACCACATTGTCCCGTAAAGTTTGGGCCACATTTTCGCAGGTCTTTTTTCTTAATGTTATCAGCTCTCATTGAAATGACTGAATTTTGGGTTCTTCATTAGTATACACCATTAAATAATCAACAGTAACAGATTATTCTCAATAAAATTTATTCATCGAAATGAAATCCTGTTGGATTTGATTCGAGAAAAAAAACTCAAAGCTAGCACGTTGCTTCGGACGAAGTTGTATCTTAAACTGTACACGAGTGTAGTCTAACATTTTATCAATGGTATTGTTGGACTGACAAGACTAAGAAGTAAAGTAAAAACGAACACTAAAATAGGTAGGGCATTACCCGCTCCTCTTAGGTAAAAGGTAATTAGTTGATGATCTTATAGAGATACCCTGAGGCAGGGGAAGGCACATCCCCCAGACCCGTAGAATCTACATTACACCGAAAGGTTAGGGAGAAGATGATCTTGTATTTATATTCTGTCTATTCTAAGTAGGTAATACTAAATTGGTCTACAATTCACTCATGTAGCGATGAAGTAAATGTCTAAATTATTTGACATGTTTTGAACGAATGCACTAAAATTCGCCCGCTCGTATACAATATAAGTGTTCATATATAGGTCCAATTGTTTCAGGCAGTATAGAAATTTACAAAACCAACACTGAAAAAGATAAAAACTAAATTTTGTTAATCCGAACAACAGATTTTTCGGTATTTTTCTCAACGTACATCGAAAAAACTGCTTTTCGTACTTTCTACTTCTTCGTAAAAAAAAGTAGAGGAAAATTTAAATACCCAAAAAACCGAAAGTTGTGAATACTACCGATGTATGAACTTGAAATGACTGAAAAATGTGGTAGGTCTAAGAACACTAGTGGAAAGTGAAGGAGGAATGTAAGTTCCAATGGCATATGATTTCATCCTCCAAAAATGACAAGAACACGTATAGTTTTAAAATTTTGACAAGCACTAATCCGGTGAACGAATTACATTGGCTTTCTCCGGTATCCTTATTTTAACAGTTACATCCACATTCTCAGACTTTAATACCCTCGAGCAAATCATATGGCACATTTTTACGGAGTTTTTATTAAGAGTGTTGATCAATTAATTAATTTCTGGATTTTCAAACATTTATCAATAAACCCTGAAAGTCACATTGTCCTATGTTGGGCTAGGTAATCATAATCAAAAGTTGATATACCCTGAAATAACTCCGATTGTACTTTCCTAGCGAATATTGCAATTTTCTTTGTCCTTCGATTTGCGACATTCGCTAAGGACGTGCATCCGGAGCCATTTCAAAGTAAATCTCGATTAAATCTTGTACATGAATGTCCGACGCATTGCAGCTTAATGTAGATTTTACATATCTCTTGAAAAATGTCTTAAAATCTAGATAGCATCAATTGACCGATTGACTAGCGCATGATCTCGAAATAAGTGACGTAGAACCACTTTACTTAAAAACAACCGGGTCTATTCAAACCTCGCTAACTGGTATATTTGCCAGTTCGACAATAGTTCCAAACTACAAGTACGTTGAAACCTCTTATCGATCTCACTTAACCCTAGTCTGACCGACTCGGGTATTTTACACCTCAGGTTTGCTATCATCAACTGCGCTTAAGCAATAGGGTACTTGAGAGTACTTTTTTTTAAAAAAAAGAAGCACATCCTAATATTTGTCAAATGAGGGGGCGCAAGAAATCGGGCGACAAAAATAAGAAGATGAAGAGGAAGAGGACGACGACGAGAAAGACGGAAGAGAAAAAGAAGAAAAATAAAAACGACGAAGACGACGAGAAAGATGGAGAAGAAGGAGAGGAAGAAGAGGAAGAGGAGGAAGAGAGTAAAAGGAGGAGGAGAATGTAGACGAAGAGGAGGTGGTAGAAGAAAAGGAAGAGCGACGGTGACACTCCCACACCTCGAACCTCGATTTATTTCCTGTCATATTTTAATCCTTAAATGGAAAACTACTCAATTCATCTTTTCAATTCTTAAAGACTGTCATGAAAATTTCAAGCAATAATGCTGATTTTCTCGCCTTTAAAAAAGTATAACAGAAGCAGAGATTTTAAAACAAACGAGATTCGTGATTTGGGAGTTTTACCGTCGCGAGGTAGAAGAATAGTAAGATAAATGCATTATTCTCTCCTTTCTCCTTCTCCTTCCTCTTTCCCCCTCTCCTCCTCTTATTCTTCTTCTTATTTTTCTTCTTCTTCTTCCTCTTCTATCGATTTCTAACTCGTTCTCATCGAACACACGTCAATAAGTGTCTTGCGATCCGAATCTGTCAGACGAGGGTTACCCGGAAGGGATTTGCCCGAGGGACCATAGATCACTTCTCCCAGCCTCGGCGGGGGCCTAGGCCCTCTTGACGTCCTCCTTGATGGAGAGGAGGTAGACGGACTCCTTGGAGTTGAGGAAGAGCTGCTGGTTGGCCTGCGGCTGGGTCGACTGCACGATGCCGGCCGGGATGACCGGCTGCGGCGGCTCTCGGTTCTCGAACTCGGAGTCGCTGCTGATCGGCGGCTGGTAGTAGAGCACGCTCGGGCTGGCCACCGCCTCCGGGAAGTCGAGCACCGTCACCACCGGGGCGCCCGGCTTCGTCGCGTACGCCACCGACGGCGGCTGCTTCACCGTCGCCGGCTGCACCGCGGCCATCGCCGGCGGTTGCGGTTGCGGTTTGGCGTCGCTCGAGGGGACCACTGGTGCAGGTGCGGGTGCGGGCAGAGCGCCCATCGGCCGGTACGGGTAGTAGGGGGCAGGGGCGCCGTACTGGCTGTAGAGGTTGTAGCCCAGAGGGTACGGCTGGAACAAGTACGGCGGCCGACTGTATGTTGTCGCGGCTCTGCAATAGAAAACATATCAGGAAGATAGTTAATAACCATTAGTAAGAGAGAGAGAGAGAGATAGGGTTAGGAGAATATATGCAATAACCATTGGTACACTGGAAAAAAACACATTGGATCTAGAGTCCAGATTCTTAAAAACATCGACAAGATATAGTACTCTTGATTCAATCAGAATCTAGCTTAAATCAAGAACCAAGCCTCTTAATTTAAGCGGATTTCGTTTTGACTCAAGCAAAAATCCGATTGAATCAAGAGTATTTTTTCTTGTTAATGTTTTCAAGAGTCTGGACTCTAGATTCAATGTATTTTTTTTTCCAGTGTAAGAGAGAGATAGGGATAGAAGAATGCACGCACATACGCACAAGACAAGTGGGAACACGACAAGAAAAAACAACCAAAATTTTGTGTCAATACGGTAAGTAGAACACAAAATAACACAGATGGTTGGTTAATTACTGTCTATGTGTGTTAGTTTTTTCCTGTGTCAAATAACCAAATTTTGGGGTTGAAGGGGCCAAATCTTTGTGTTGACAATCTACCATCTCATTGAAAATTATGCGGTAGCCGTTGGGATTGAGCCTGAATCGCATCGATCGTAATCCAATGCGTTATAGTCACTCGCAAGTCAGAACCTCTGGATGTGGGGAGAAAAATAAGAGTTCATAAGTCCTACTCCTGCAGGACACTTTTTTCATGCCTTGGTGTCTCAGAATAACCTACGGTTTGGGTCGATTTAACGAAAAATTGTGTAGAGCAACCAAGTCCTTTGGGTTTATTATTTCCTTGTGGAAAATTAAAAGGCAGCTACAGTTATCATCCTTCTGTACACTTCCTCATTAGATGCGTGATGAACTTCGGTTGACCTAATGTACCAAACAAATACACCAAACTTCAACTTATTTGCAGAACGAAATGTTCAACTCGATGTTGAACAACCATCCAGTTGGTAGGTTAAAAGCTGAATGCTAAGGCCGCACAGGAAAAATGCAACTATCGGCTGAAATATCTGGCAAATGGGAAAAAATCGAATTCATCCCCTGAATCTTTTTCCGTTTCTCTCGTAAAGTCGAACACACTTAATCTTTTTGCTACTTTTCCAGCTTTTATACTTAAAAATATGTGTTACGTTTCTGTTGGGAGAGACGTTTGTTTATTTGTTCAATCGCACATTGGCATCAACATGGAGACCCGTATGAGCAAGGGTTTGACAGAGTTTCGAAGTTAGTTAATTTTCAAGCTCCCAAAAGTCAAATGATCTTAAAGAATTTAAGGAAATCATATAGTTCTACTCACAGCGATGGTGCGTAATGGTAGTTGAGCGGGAATGTTGGCACTGCGTATACAGTTTTGATTAAGATCGGCTGACTCAGTTGCTGGTAAGTGATGGGTGCAATGAGAGCTCCGACCGGCAGAGGAACCATGGATCCACGATAAAAAACGTTGACAACGGACGGGAAATCTACCACCGTTCGCTCTAATCCTGAGTTAATGAACACCGGGGTCCTGAGTAACATTTTCACAGCTGGCATCGCCTCCTGTTCGAGCGTGAAATAAAATCGTGAAAAATAAAATTTACATTTTTATGACATTCTTTAAGGCCTTAAAAATGTATTGTACTTTGTTGAAAGTTGTGGAAAAAAGAGCACGGGGTTGTTGGATGATAAGGATATACCTATTTGACTCTAGTAGCACCCCAATTATTTCTTTTAGTACCCTCATAAATTAGGTTACTAACCCAAATCTTGCGACACTACCTCAACTTAAGTTACGGTACTGCAGTGGCGTGGCGTGATTATATCGGATAGGTGTTCGGTAGGAGTGTCAACCACTCCCTAATTTTATTAACATATCATTGAAAGACCATAATTTTCGCAATCAGAACCCTTTGAAAGATCCTTGATTTTTTTTTTTAGAACTCTCGGAACATTCCTTGACAATCCTTAATTTTCGTACTAAGAACTACATAAGAAGTCAAAAAAGTCCTTATGATTTTGCTAATTACCACTCCCTGAAAAGTCTTTGAAAGTTTATGGCTTTGTTGATTAGTAAGCCATTTGTAAAATTATTGAAAGTGTTTAATTTCTCTAATGACAACCTCTTTAAAAGTCTTTGACTCTAGTTGTGAAATGATGTCATGAACCCTGTTCTGCCGTGCCAAAGAAAAACGCCGTATGAGCCCTCAGGCGTTGCCAAATTCCCTGAGGCAAATCACGAATTATACCAGGAAAATGTTGGAATATTTTCGTGCCAATTTCTCCGATAATTATGTTTGTAATTTGATCTGGAGTGTCTGAAAATTTCAAGGAAAAATATTCACAATTTTCCTCAAAAATATACCTTTTATCGTAGGAAATTTGGCAGCTTTCAAATGTTCATACGGCGTTTTTTTTCAGCACGGTAGTGTTCGAGTCATTCATTCATTAAAGCCGATTCGAATCCCACTAAAACCCCTTCATTAATCCAGCCTCCATCACTACCACACCTGTTGTGAAAGTGGTCTACCCGCTAGTTTGAAGGCGTTTCGTAGAAAGCGAAACTTACCGTGAGCCCGGTGCGTTGGTTGTAGCACTGGACAAGGGCGTTGTCGGGCGACAGGGCGGTGATCTCGGTGTTCCTCATGACGACGAGGTCCTTTTGGGGCACGGGGAGCAGCGGAACCCTGGCCATCGACTTAGCTAGACTCATCGGCGCGTCCGAGATAACGGCCAGTGGCGGCATCTGTCCTCGCACCGGTCCTCCGACCGCATTTTCCGAGACGTCATCTTGGCAACTCCTTCCGGCCAGCGAAACTATCAGCACGACGCCAAATAACCAGTATATCTGAAAGTACAGCGTAAAAATAGAGATTGGAAGACTTAGATTTGGACATCGTTATGACAGGAGGGAACAAATTGGTCCGGAGAACAAGACCCAAATCAAGAAATACGCTCTCAGTTTTTCCGGAAACGAGTGGTTAGCTCGCTAAAATTGTTTTTCAAAAATCTACGGAAATTCTTACAAAATAATGTTTAAATTTGATGAACTCAATCTCGTTTATTTGTTCCTCTCTGAGCAACGAAATTAAGTTCTCTACTCGGAGGTATTACTTTATTGTTGTTTTTCATGATGCATGTGGCTCTACAGTTATGGTTTGTCTGAAGACTCATTGACGCCTGAAACTGAAATAAAAGAAAACCCGAAGCCTGATCGCTCTAATATATAAAATTCAGTCCACCATGTTGAAGATATATTTCATTGAGTTGATTGAGCAAATAATTACACTTCTAGTTGGATTTAATTAACTTATTATTTAATTATAATTGCTTTCACATGCCGGCCTGTCATGATCACACCAGCACGGTATCACAGAATTAGATACTCAAAGCATACTTTAAATTTGAGCCTACGGATTAATTAAACCTCATTCTCCTCCATTTTGAATCTTCAATTCCCGATGATCGCCATTCATTGGTTCCTAAGAGCTTCTCCAAGCATAAGATGGTCGAGGCAATCAGAAATGGATCCTTCCATTGCCTATTAAGGTACTGTTAAAACAAATATGCTCGTAAGGTGGCTGGCAGAATGAAATAATGAATGAATTAATGAATGCTCAAAAGTTATGTAGCCGGTCGAGTGGAATTTTTAAAGATAAAATTGTACAAAATTCTCATTTATCACAAAATCACATTTGCATATCACTCTGGAAAAAAAACGCATTGGATACAGAGTCTAGACTCTTAAAAACATCGACAAGAAAAAATACTCTTGATTCAATCAGATTTAAGCTTGAATCAAGAACCAAGCCTCTTAATTTGAGCGGATTTCCTTTTGATGTAAGCAAAAATCTGATTGAATCAAGATTTTTTTTCTTGTCAATGTTTTCAAGAGTCTGGACTCCAGATCCAATGCGGTTTTTTTCCAGTGTAACGTAATTTATCAACAAAATTCAATTTGCTACCACCAAGTAAATGCAAGCAAAAGTGACGATTATCAAACCACATATAGACGTATATCTGTCAAACGGAATTATGTCCATTAAGACATGAGACCCGAGACCCATAAGAATATATGCATAACAGAGCTCACGTCATGATGCACATAGTTTCGTTTGGTAGAAATGCGTCCATATCTACACAACGCTCACTCTCCTTACCTCTCTGAACGTCGTCATGTTTAATTGTGACCAAAAACGAATGTGTATCTATAATCTTGTGCAGCCCTTTACAGACTGAGCTAACGATACGTGACAAACTCTTGGCTTCCAAATCCTCTCCTCTGAAACAGCTAAATCCCGGTTCTATGTTGTGAGCCTTCCTCTGATTTCCTTGTCATTCTTGAGATTTCGGTTGCTTAGTCTGCGAACAAAAGAGTAATTTAAAAATTAGACAATGCTAGGGATGCACACACTATATGAAATATTGAGATTATTATTGGGAAATATTGGGGCACAATATGAGATTGTCACATTCCATGAAAACCGTCGTGGAGGCTGTAAATAGACTCATTTATGCTAAAAGAAACTACGTGTGCAAAGGTTTCACGTACAACATTATAGTTCCCTCTCGCATAAATAGTCGAATTGGACGTAATTAATATTAAAAAGAAACTACCTGCCCAGGGTTTGTATTCCTTTTAGCATAAATATGTCCAACTTTAAGACATAGTACTTTCCTGCGCCGGAATTTTAGAGACGAACGGGCGTTCTTAAAGGTGAAGGAGGACAAAAAAGAAGAGGAGAATAGCGGTTGAAACTGCTTATGGATCTGTTTCAGAATGTGTTCCAGCGAAAAGTGGTTGTCCAGTGGCGAGGCGCGATTGATCGATTATCGATATTTCGCCATTTGAGGCCGTGGCAACTGGCAAAGAATCTATTATTAAGGTACCCGTTTACGAATACCCTGTTTATGGATCCTTTTCCACAGGTTGAAATGGCAGATGAATCGATGTATCGCAAATTATGCCACGTTATCGTTATGTGTTCAATTTTTCCGAGTGCAGCGGGAGAAACTTGAACGCAAGACTAGAAAAGTAGAGCAACATCCAATGTGTGCAGAAAACTGACGAGAAACGATTGGAAAAAACCCCCGTTCCAAATTGCACATGATTATGACAAGACTTCATGGCGAAAATGAACATTGAATTACGTCGTTCGGAATGAATCAAGGATAAATAAGATCTCAAAATTTTTATTGGCTCTCACACACCGTATTTAGATCCTTCAAGTCCTCTTTCGGAGCCTTTGTCGGAAGCAGTTGAATAGGTCGATATTACAGTCGATTTCCTTATGAGCTCTAAGCTCTATAAAACGGCGTGTAATCTAGAGCTCACCAGATAGTGGGAAAATTCTGTTTCAACATCGACGGATTCATTTATTGAGACACCTACTCAAAAGTTATCAAACTCTCGAGCCTTTTTATGAAAGTTATAATTGCCGGGAGGCGTATCAATTGTCGATTTCTATCCTCGCTACCAGCCAAGTGCAAATTGAAAACTGGTTATGAATAATTTATGGGTGGATGAAATGATTTATTTGCGACGATCGCTTCGAGGAAAGGTCAATGTTCCCGCCGCGAAGGTGTAACGGAAGCTGCCAGATTTCGTTATCGGAAATCGCGATGTTTGAATGAATGACGTCATTTGTTGATAATTTAGAGAGAATGACGTCAGTCAGGATCGGAGGTTTGTGTTAGGTATGCAGATAGGATGAGGATGAACACCGTGGTGAGTATAACTCATGAGTATTCCTATATAACCCTCCGGGTATCATCCGGAGTCGGTCGAAATAGTTTTTTGCTCAAACCATCTCAGATATGAAATAATAATTAAGTCGGGTTGTACATTTTTAATTTACGTTTTGAGCGAATATTTGGCCAGTGTCGGCAACGTCTATCAAAAACCCTAAAAAAAAACCGAATCTAAGGCAAGAACCATATTTCAATTTCAATGCAATTGTTTTAAAACGAATATAGAAATGAAAAACAATTATATTTTACCTTTTTATTTTTTTATTCTTTTATCACGTATCGGAAGGTAACTCTTTGTTTATTGTTTATTGACTTATTTTTTTAATGGAAAAAAAACACTAAGAAGTGGCCCGAACTGTATGTAATAGGGTGGAGAAATGGTGCTGGATCCACACCATGTTGCGGGGCAAACAAAGCCAAAAAGTTCCAAAAATTATAAGTAGAGTCAAAATTAATTTTGACTTTAATTATAATTTTTGGAACTTTTTGGCTTTGTTTTCCCCTCGAAATGGTGTAAACTCAGCACCATTTCTCCACCTTGCTTCTTTTTATATATAGTAGCTGTATTGTGGCCCAATTTTCCGGGCAGCGCAACGAAATATCATTCTTACATTTTTCCTTGCGCGTATTTACTCTCGTAGGTGTACTGTGAATGGCCATTCGACTTAAAGCACCCTACAAAATAAAGTCATCGATTACCTCTACTCATGTGCTCACATAGTTGTTTGTTGTTTTAGTTGTCTTTTTATTTATCAGTTACAGAAGAAGTGACTTGCATAGCGGTGCTGTAATGTTGAATGTCTCTAAGAGAAGATGATTCATCTACAAGCGGTGTCTAGAAAACACGTGTAGCGATTAAGGCGCTTTATTGGAGCTTGGAGTTCTTGGAAACTCGTTCACTTCAGTTAGGTTCAATTTAATCCTCCATAATAAGTTTTCCACCCCAGGGCCTAGTCCTAGTGGTTCTTCTTAATTAAAGGGTTTTCGATAAGTGTACGATCATAAGTCTCCACGCTACACCTGGCACATCAGCAAAATACCGTGGTGAACATCCGTGCTTCTTCTATACATCCATCCGTGGTAAAGAATGACAAAAACAAAATACAAAGAGCTTTCCTCTCGTTTCAAAGAATGGGACTCACTTTATTTAGATAAATAATGTTCGATGTATCACATGCCACTTTAATATGCTAGTTACATCACTCTTACGGAAAGTTTGGTAGTTTTATTTGATTATCTTGGTCTGTAAAAAATGGAGCATTCGGTGAGCATGAATCTTTTCCAGACGAAAATGATACAACAAGATGAAGTAATATTTTCTAGTCAACTGTAGAACATATAATTTAAACAGCACATTCAAATGAAAGCGTGATGCTACAGACATTTTTCGCGCTACCCTCCGACTAATCTACCGAATACTTTTAGGGTGTGTCTAGACGTGATTTCCTTTCAGTGTATTCTGCTTTTCCTGGACGTGATTAACATTTTTCGATGACCTTCAGGAACAGGTAATTGCGAGCGCACCAATTCAATCCCAAAAATTCACGCGTTCCTTTAACTTTTTGATCCTTCGTTGGGCGGTGGTTCAGCGGGACATTGATCCGAATTCCGGCTTCCAAGGATTTATTGTCAAAAAACGATTATCACGATGAAAGATATAGGTTTCTACCTGGAAATACTTCCCTCCCCTGATGCTAACTCTTTTGAGCTTTTGTGTCAAAATGTCTTAGAGGAGAAAAAAATGTCAAGAATATCTTCAATATTTGGCAACGTGACAGTCAATCTTACACGGCAAAATGAGACAAGCTTGTTATAATAGGGATCACTCACCGTGGACGGCTGGAAATCCCCTCAACACTAGATCCGCGTGCCTTTGAAGATCCGGGATTTTTTGATCGCGCGGGTCCCATTCAAAAGTATCCATATGCATTTTATGAATTACGATGCACAGTTCATCGACACGAAGAGAATTGGTGCCATAAATGCGGTCCATAGATTCCATAGCTTTTGTAATCTCTAAGCTACATTAATCCGGTTGTTGACTCACTGACCCGGAGAGAAAGGAACAGTCAGTATATAGTTTGAGTGATGGAACGCGCTCATTAGCTTTGAAATCATGTACCTTATTTGCTGCAGTGGATCATCTGACGCGGAAGGAAATGACGCGTCAATGCTAAGTTCCTCAACCAAAGTTTGCGTGCTACGCAGTGAACGCAATTAACAATCCTAAATCCAATTCATGGAGAAAATAGTTTTCAGAGTTCCTCGATTCAAATGTCCCCCTCACTAATATAATATGAAAGTCTGTTTGGTCTGATTGGGACGATCTCAATTAAGAAAATATGGTCGAATGATCCACTTGGCTCAGACATCTTAAGCCTCCTGGAGTTCTTTGAATGGAAAAAAATGTCGGCCGTTTTGTGCCGATGATTCGGAAGTGCAGCATGTGTAGTGCTTTTCGCTTGTATCACTGCGAACTGTACTCAAATCACATATTTACGCGTATTCAATCAGTCTTGACACCATTCGTGCATTACATGTGAAAAAATGCTTTCACTCTAAACCTTTACTGTAGCAAGGTTGGTATCAAAGGAAGCAGATGATAAACGTCAAAAGTTGGTAACAACCCCTCTCATCTACTTCTGCCTTCGGTCGCCGCCATTTTTATTTATCACGGGGATCTCTAGATACGCAGTGGCCTTTTCTCTTCGTATAGGCACTCTAGGCTGTGGCGGTGAGGCGTCGCAGAGCGCCGGAGAGCGCATTGAAGGCGGCTGTTATATATGTATTCATAAGTTATTTTATGTAAATATTGAAGAAGGACGAAGAAGCAGGGGCACAAAATTAAAATACCGAGACTGACTGAGACAATTGGCAGCACTTCAACGAATAAGATCACTGTCCTAACATTTTTATGGGCTCTCTTTGCCCACCTGCCCGACGTCTTTCGGCGACCACGGTCTGCGAGGATCACCTCCGAATGGCTGAGTCATCCGCATTTGCCAAGCCGAATACCAAACGTGTTCTCTCCACACACACGTGGCCTGGGTGAATGAATACGTAGAATTTGTCAAACAAACGGCAAATAGAACTGAACCGGAATTTGCTTTGCCGATTGATCCGATTCTTCGCGTGACTCCTCGCTAATAGCATTTCATCCATCTCTATATCACGTGATCCGCCCTCTGTAAGAACTTACCCTAAAAAATACCCCCCCCCCCCTACTCACCCAAATAAGGAATTTGGTAGCTTTCCTTTATGGTGCTTATTTGAATGTGTGATGACCGATGGTTGTGATTGAATGAGTGATGAATGTGTGTGTGACCTTTGCATCCTGATCTCCTTTCTTTCGTCCTCGTGACTTTTCGCGCGACGATGATTAGACAGGGCTGTACTGTCTTATCCTCGGGTCTATAGAGTTTTTGGGCGGATTCGTCAATATACATATATTTAGAAAAACAATAAACAAATTGGGGAAATATGCTTTTGGGAGTGAGGTCCCCGCGCGAGAGTATGTCACTTTACTAAAAAATGTAAACTCGTTTTATTACTCTCTTTAACTCGAAATATTCATTCATTTCGTTGTTTGTCTGACATCATTCAAAGCATCG